CCTGGCTGGAAGCTTCCAGTAGCTTCCGGTTGGGCCTCAGACCCTGTGCCCAGGCCGAGACTTACAGTTGAGGGCCTGGGCCCTTTACAGTTGGGCGCGGCCTGAGTCTCCGGACTTGGACTGTTAGCTGCATCTGCGCAGGGCCCCCAGGTAGGTGCGTCGGCTGTACTGCTTTTCCAGAGGCCGACGGCCTGCTTCTCAATGTATCGTCCCTGCTTTGTGTGTAGGTGCCCAGGCACAACTTTCGTGGCCTGGGCCAACTGTACGGCGCAGCTTAGTCAGGCTCGCGCGTTCACTCAACCAACTGACGCGCTGCAAGAGCCTGAATACCCACATATGGAAATGTCGAATTTGGCCTGTGACGAATATTCAGGCCCGCCTTCACTTAGGGCGGGCACTTGGCTTGCTGGGGCCTTGGCCCAGAACAATGCGATGTCTGAAAGGGCCACTTGAGGGCTTGTTCCTCACATTCCATCCCCCTTAGCTTCGAAATTCCGCTGAGATGCTTCATGCTGGTGCCTTCCCCTTCGGTCTTTTCTCATAATCGGCCACGATCTGAGGAGCTGTCTTGACAAGTTCCTCCCTTGAAATCCATCGATCTTCCTTCGGATCTGTATGATGCCTGAAATGTACTCTGTATTCCCTCGCAGGTTTGGGAGGTCTTCCCCTGCCAGGTGGCTTAGGAACAGGCGTATCTCTGTGATCCAGGATGTCGTCGACGTCCACGTGGCCATCCATGGTTGGGGGCAGCATAGATCTCCGTGATGGGAACTGTGCTGTCTCAGCGAAAGGTGCAAGTTTGGAAGTGTGGAAAACAGGGTAAGTGCGTAAGTGACCAGGGATACGAATAACGTACGAGGGACCATCCAAATCATTCCCCACGATATCCAGGACTTCCCAGGGACCGAAATACTGAGGCATTAGTTTCCTAGAGATGCCAAACTCCTGTCCCTGTTCACTAGCCTTGACCCAGACACGTTCCCCTACCTGAAATGTGGACTGTCGACGACGCTTGTTCTCAGAAGCAATCATGACCTCCTGAGATTTCTTAATGTGTTCGACAGTCTGCTGCAGCAGTTTCTCATACTGAACACCAAATTCAATGGTTCCAGGAGTTGCAGCAGTTCGATTTTCAGGCAGGAGGAAGTCTAGAGCAGATCTAGGCTTCCATCCCAGATGTAGTTGGTTAGGACTGACACCGATGGTGCTGTGTACAACGTTGTTGTACAGACTGGCGATGAGAGGTAACTTCTCATCCCAGTCATCCTGGCTGGGCTTGATGTAATGCCTCAGCAGATGCTGCACCACTCGGTTCATCTGTTCAGCCTGTCTATTTGCTTCGGGATGATTCCCAGAAGTCATCTGAAGCTGGCTGCCCATCTGTTCAGTGGCCTTCTTCCACATCTCACTAGTGAAACGGACATCTCTATCACTAACGATAGTCTTAGGCAATCCAAAATCACGCACCCAGTTGTCCATGAACAACTTGATGACGTGCTCAGTCCTGGCAGTCTCTAGCATGGCGATTAGTCTAGCGTAAAAACCTATCCACTATGACGAAGATGTGCCTCTTGCCATTCTTGCTGGTCACAAGAGTATCCATGAAGTCCATGGAGATACTCTGCCCTAGGCCAGCAGGAATGGGTAAAGGCTTGAGTAACCCAAGCGGAGCTTGAGTCCGCGGCTTGTCCCGCTGACAGAACTGACAGGTCTCCACGTACTTCTTCACATCGTCAAGCATGTTGGGCCACCAGAATCGCTGTACTAAATTAGCACTCGTCTTCTTATAGCCGAAGTGTCCCATTGCGTCGTGACACTCACCTAAAACTAAACTATGCAAAGTCTCTCTAGATAGAACAACTAACCTCTTGAACCCTGCCTTCTCAAGAAAGAGCAACTCATCCACCATCACAAACTCATCAGTGGTGGCCTTATCTTTAGCCTGTAGTTTGTTGATGATGTTCATCGTGATGGGATCTTCCTTGTAGGCTTCATCCAACGATCGAGTCACGTCCTCAGACAAACCAAACTCAGAAATCAGCGCACCTAGGTAGTCTGCCCTCCTAGACAACGCATCTGCAACCTTGTTGTACTCTCCCTTCAAATAGTATAGTTTGAAATTATATTGATCTATGACTTCAATCCAGCGTTTGAGTGCACCGGAGAGGACTGGTTGAGTCTTGATCCACTTGAGTGTCTGATGGTCAGTTCTCAAGTAAAAGAACCTTCCTAACAGATAGTGCCTCCAGTGGACAAGTGCCTTGTAAAGAGCGTAGAGTTCCCTCTCGTAGGTGGACTTTCCCAACTTCTTTGACGGAATCTTTTTGCTCATGTACTCGATCGATCTCAACTTCTTCCCTTCCTGCTGAGCCAGCACTGCGCCAATCCCATATTGGCTTGCGTCAGTGGTTACAACGAACGGCCTTTGCGGGTCGGGTACCATGAGAACCTCATGATGCGTGAGAGCATGCTTCAAATGCTTGAAAGCTGCCTCACACTCGTCGGTCCAGTCCCATGGTGTATCGAGTCGAGTTAGATCAGTCAAGGGAGATGTAATCGTGCTATAATTTTTTACAAAATTGCGGTAATAACCACACATTTCCAAGAATGATCTGACCTCAGTCACAAACTGGGGTCGTGGCCGGTCACGAATGCTAGCCACCTTCGCATTTTCGGGCCTAATTCCATCCGCGGATACCTCATGACCCAAGTACATGATTCGAGTGCGACCAAACTCGCATTTCTCAGAGTTTATCTTATACTTGTGTTGTCGAAGGAGTGAAAGTACTTTGTCTACATGTTGAGCATGCTCCTCGACAGATCTACTAAAAATAAGTATGTCGTCGAGGTACACGACAACAAACTTGTCTAAGTAGTCATAGAAGATCCTATTCATGGCGTGCTAGAATGTACCCGGCGCATTGCAAAGGCCAAAAGGCATCACCACAAACTCGTACAGACCGCACCTGGTCTAAAATGCGGTTTTGTGCTGGTTCTCTGGTCTTATGGCAATCTGATGGTAGCCGGATTTTAAGTCTATCTGTGTATAGTACTTACACCCCTGCACCCTATCCAATAGGTCGTCGATGCGTGGTAGAGGCTCTGCGTTCTTAACAGTGATGGCATTGAGGCCTCTATAATCAATGCACATCCTTAGTGTTCCCCCTTTCTTTGCAACAAACAATACTGGTGAGCCAAAGGGGGAAGTGCTAGGCCGAATCCAACCCTTCTCTGTGAGCTCTTTCAGCTGCCGCCGAAGCTCGTCCAACTCGACTAGAGCCATCCTATAGATTCTACCCTTAGGTGTTTTACTTCATGGGATAATCTCTATGGCATGGACAATCTCCCTGTCTACGACTCCTGTAGGCTCCTCGAACAGATATGGGTACTTAGCGACGATGGTCTCTATCTCTGGGGGTGTTTTAACGGCCTCCCCTTTTGCAGAGACGTAGACTAAGTACATTCCTTCCTCTTGGTTCTGTTTATAAAATTATAAAAGGCAGATGCGCATAAGCACCCATAGGAGTCTACTAACCTACTGGCTTTGTACTTGGCCAATCTCACGGTTCTCCCACTAGGCAACTCATGCTTCAACACCTTCTTGTCCCAGTCAAACTGGGGCTTGGCAACCTAGAGGTAATACATGCCCAATAACATGTCAAAGGGCAACTCGTCGCTCACCAGGAATGATATCTTGTGGCTTATGTCTCCTCCTGGGTAAGAGAAGGTGCAAACTACATCTTTAACGTAGTCCTCCACTATCATGCGCTCTTTGTTGGCCAAAGTAGATGCTACCGGTCTACTAAGGCGCTGCACACGGTTCTTTAGGCACAGTTTGTCAACGCAGTCGCGACTTATGAAGTTTCGTGTGGAGCCAATGTCTACGAAGGCGCCGCACTTGCGACCGCCCACATCAACTTCCACAACGAAGTGCTCCCCTCTAGGACCTCTACTCAGTGCCACCCAGGACTCACGAGGGTCCCTTGCCGACCACTCACCTTGAAGGTCCTCTAAGGCCTCAGACACATCCAACGTACAGAGTATAGTTGGGTCCGGATGCGTCTGCGGGGTGACTAAGGAGTCAATAGCTTTGGCCATCTCTTGAATCGGGGAGGGTACATCACCCCCTTCAACGAGAGTAGAAGCAGCTATAACTTCTACTGGCCCTAAGTGTTTCCCGAGCTGGAGCTCGTAGAGGCCCCATATTGAGAAGAAGAGAACCCACCCTTGGGAGGGATCTTCTGCGAGACCTTCGGGTTCTTGCATTTAAACTGTGTGTGACCATACTCACCACAGTTAATATAAGCACCACGAGACCAACGGTCCCGCCACACTTCTTGATTCAGACCTGCTCTAACCCAAGCAGCTATTTTGTTTGGGTTAGCGGCCTGCCCCTGACTCCTTTGTTGACCGCCCTTGCCGCGGCCAGCTGCCTTAGTCTTAACTACGGCGGCGAGGTTGCTACCCTAAGCACTCTCCTCGCCGTCAAACTTTGAACCCTCCATAAGATCGGAAACATCATCGATCTCGGTTTGATTTCCATCGGAATCAACCATCATCAATCGACTACCCTTCTTCTTCCACTCTTGTGGAGTCTTCTTCTTTCTCCCGTCCGTAGAAGGGGGTTGAGCTCCACCCAGCGTAGCCTCTAAGTCTAGGGCCTTCTTGATGAATGACTCAAAGGTGTGATACTCTCTGCGAGCCTCGCTGGCTAATAAATTCCTAATGTCTGTGGGAAGACATCTCAGGAACATGGTCAGCAAGACCTGTGGATTGTACTCCACTCCCGGGACGACGATCAGGCGCTCTACGACTGTGGTGAGTTCCCGCACAGACTTGTACTTTTTAGTATCAAGTTTCAAGAGCCCATCAATGACAATCTGTGCCTGCTGAGGGTTGTGCCAACGAGCCTCCACTAAGTCCATAAAGCTTTCTAATGTGTGGGTCTGCGCCCAATCATGCATATTCCTGCCGAAGCCCTTTGAAGCTACCAATCCGTTTAGCCAACAGACTGCTGAACCCTCCAAGTAGGATGCAACAGTAATCACCTCCTCTTCTACCAATGTCCTTTTGGCCCTCACCCACACTGGCACCGTTCTCAACCATGTGTCGAGAGCCTCATCCTTCTTGTCTCCTGAGAAGGTTGCAGGTGGGTTCA